GCGGGGCGCAGGAAGGGCGAAGTGCGCGGCAGCCCTGGAGTCGGCGTCCGCGGGGTGGGAAGCGCCGCGGGCCGGCGGGCGGGGACCCTGAGGCCGCAGCTCCGGCCGCAGGGAGGAGGTGGCCTTCAGGTCGCAGCGCGGCTGGGCCCAGGTCGCGTCCAAGAGTCACAAGGGCGGAGGGCGGAGGGCGGAGGACGGAGGACGGAGGGCGGAGGACGGAGGACGGAGGGCGGAGGGCGGAGGGCGGGCGCGTGCAGGGGGCGGGGCTGCGGTCCTGCCAGCGCTTCCGGTCGGCGGTGTGGCTCGCTGTCACGCCCAGCAGCGTCCGCTTGTCTTACTTCCGCTACTGACTTTATAATCTGAGCACATGTGCAAACACTATGTATGTGAACAAAATAACTAATAAAGATGCGACACAAATACAAAAGTATGTAAGAAGGTGTAGATATTTAAAAATCATTATAACAACAAAAATGATTACAGTGAGCATTAAGAGGGTCATGAAGATATTGCAAGGAAACAAGCAAAACAAGTATATTGCGTATGTACATGTATGTGTACACGTATGCATATACACATGTATCTGTACACACACAGACACGGCCTCTTAACATGGGGACTTAGTGTGGTCCCACCTAAAACTTTTTGACTTTACAGTGGCACCTGTACAACCACCCTCAGTACGGCATTCAGTACATTCCATGAGACACTCAACACTATTGTAGGACTGGCTTTGTGTTAGATGTTGTCGAGCTGTAGGCTAATGTAGATATTCTGAGCACATTTAGGATAGGCTAAGCTAGTACTATGTAATGTCGGTAGGTCATGTGTATTAAATGCGCTTTTGACTTACGATAGGAAGGGCTTATTGTAACCCCGTTGTAAGTTAAGCAATATGTAATAACCCCATTGTAAATTGAGGGACGTCTATCTAATTGAATCTATCTTTCTCTATTATTTATCAACCATCTCTCTCTCTCTCTATCTCAGTGTATCTATCTAATCTATCATCTATTCAATGTATCTATCTTATCTCTCTTTCACTACATCCACCCATCCATCCAAAATAGATGTTATATATGTCCTGAGAGTCCTCATTGCAGTTATTTTTTCCAGTCTACCTTTTGTTTCTCCGTGGAAGCCCACCTCTCCAGAAAGCCAACTGCTCTGAGATTGGCCTCTGCCCCTCTCTCCCATCTGCTGGGGTCTTCCATCACTGCAGCTTAGTGTGGTTCCAGACCAGTGGTGTTACCTTGTCTTGGAGGCTTTGGAAATGCAGTTTCAAGTTCTGCCCTTGACTCCCTGAATTCCAGCTCGGGCCTGTTCATGTGCTCCCCAGGAGAATCTGTTGAGAAGCGCTCCTTCCGCCACCTGTGGTTGTTCCTTTCCTGCGCCTGTTAGTACATATGCCTCTGGACTTGTGGGCCACACTGACCAGGACCTGGGGAGGCTGTCTTGGGGAGCACAGATGCAGGCCCTTCTGTGGCAGAAGTCAGTGGCAGGTGAGCTGGCCACCAAGGACTGCCATGGTTTGGATCTGAAGGATCCCCAGAGGCCATGTCTAAAGGCTTGGTTGCCAGCTTTTGGCACTGTCAGGAGTTGGTGGGCTTTGGGAGGTGGAGCCTGGTGGGAGGAGGTTAGGTCGTTGGGACCCTGGCTTTCTCTCTCTATGCTTCCCAGCTGAGCTGAGCCTCTCTCCCCCACCATGCACTCTTCACCATGATGCCTGCTTTGCCACAGGCCCAACTAACAGGCAAAGTGACCATGGACTGAAACCTCTGCAACTGAAAAGGAATAAACCTTTTCCTCCTTTACATTGATTTCTTTCAGGTATTTTGTTATAG